TTAACGCAAACCCATTAGAAAAAAGTAGAGCGGTGGTAATGAGGAATAGTTTGCTCAAAGAACTGTGCTTTCAAAGACTCTCGTGATTGGGAAAGCCCACCCATAAGTTCTCCCGTGGCCACCCTGCTGTGGGCCAGTCTAGCTTCCATGGCAACATCTCAGGTACGAGGAGTTTACTACTTCCTGGGACAGATTATTCAGACTGGATGATTTGTAATAACTTCTGTCTGGGACCTAACGCCTTTTTTGTTTCTTCTCTTTGATCCTGGTTCTGCTGTGTAGTTTTTTGGTTCTGCAACCGTTCACACAATTGAGGACAGTGCACTGGTACAGTGGTTCTGGCTTATCACTCCTTGAGCAAGCCAGCAGTGGGTGTATCTGCACAAAGTGGAGCAGGACCATCACCCCCACAGTGGAATGCTGGAGTTCTACTAACCTGGCAGATATACCTGATACCTTCCCTTTCCTCATCCTCCATATTCAGCCCCAGGTCAAGTCCTGTGGGTTTTACCAACTCCCTCTTCCTCTCTTCCTCTCCACTGCCACCTCCTTCATGTAAGCTGTCATCATCTCTTGCCCGGACTATTGCAGTAGTCTCTTCATAGCACTCACCTCACTCCATAAACCACTTTTCACAGTAATCTCTTTACAATGCAAATATGCTAATGTCACCCACTGCTAAAAATGTTTCCCATTCAGGTACATCTTGTTCCATATTCTGCACTCTAGCCTCAGCCTCAGTGATCATCTTTCAGGACCCCCAACCACTCCTTATTCCATTCATTGCTTCTGTCCCTCCAGGCTTCAGCTCATCTGTCACTTGTTCAGGGAGCCCTCCCTGATCGCCTTGACAAGGTCAGATCTCTCAGTTACAAGCTCCTCTAGCACCAGAGAACTCTCTTTCATGGCACAAAACAGAATTTCCAATTTCTATTCATTTCTGTGATTACTTAACTCGAATCTGCCTCCCCCACTATTCCACAATGGTGGGCTGGTACACTGCCTATGGGTGTGGGGTTGATGTGTAGCCTTTGTAGATTCCTGGGGTATAAGTACAACCACCACAGCAGACTTCAAGCTCTCAATTATGGCTTGCAAAATCCCTGAAAACTTAATAACTGGCTCTCATGAGCTTGTATGACCTGGCTTCAGCGTACTCCCAGGGCAGCCTTTCTATCTGATTTTGCACCCTCATGACCAATAAAGGGTCTGAAGATAATTGAAGATTCATCAGTATTTGGAGAATGAATGAATGAGCAATGCTGAAGTTTAAATGAGCCTTCAGGACAGCTATTTCCAGAAGATTAAAGACTTTGAATATTTGCCCCAAGAAAGGAATAAGAAAGTCATGACATTTCTGTTCTTTGAAGACATATATTTATTTAACAAAAATGTCTATGTCAGGCACAAATCTAAGTACTTTACAAATACTAACCCATTTAATCTTCATAACAATGAAAGGCAAATACTATTAGTACTCTCATTCTGCAGATAAGGAAACTGGAGCTCAGAGTAATGTGCCAAATTGGCAGACCTGGATTTTGACCCAGGAAGTGTGACCATACAGCCCATGTTCCTAACCACTACCCTGTGCTGCATCAGGACCAGTTCTGGAGATGATCCGTGGCCCGTATTTCCATCTTGCTCCAACCTAAGTACATACATCCATGAACATGGGTGTGTGCGCTTCAAGTCACTGCCACTCAAGAAATAACAAAATGGAAAAGGTCCACAGATGAGGCTCTGAAATGTTGGGGGAGATATGGGTTCTTCTGCATAAGGACAGAGGAAAAAGAATTAAGTGTCTTCCAGAGCCATGATACAACCATGGGGAAAGACTTTAAACATTTATTTACCAAATTCTAGTAAGAGGATATTGACTTGGTCAACTTCCATAACAGGAAACATTAAAACCTGAGGTGAGTTTGGGACATTAGTATACGTACAATGTTCTTTTCTGTATATAGTCTCACTTTACCTCCAAGACCACCCTGGGAGATGAGGAAAATCAAGCTCATTTTGATAAGCTAAGGACACCAAAGCTCAGAAGTTAGGGGACAAAGCCAAGGCCACATAACCACCTATCAGCAAAACTGAGCCCAGTCTGTGGCAGAGGATGGCCAGATCCAGCCTTTTTATGCTGTTCAGTTACTTCCCTAGCAAGTCTCACAAAATTATAGCTGCTCAGAGGAAGTCAATTCCTGGAGCTAATTATGCTGAGGAGCATTATAAAGTGAAATGTAATTAGATTCAAAGGGGATTTACACAGATTCTGTGGTGACAGCCTAATATCACAATAAGTGTTGGGTCTGTGTCTCCAATATTTTTTTTTAAAGATTTTATTTATTTATTTGACAGAGAGACACAGCGAGAGAAGGAACACAAGCAGGGGGAGTGGGAGAGGGAGAAGCAGGCTTCCTGCCGAGCAGGGAGCCCGATGCGGGACTTGATCCCAGGACCGTGGGATCATGACCTGAGCCAAAGGCAGACGCTTAACTGACTGAGCCACCCAGGGGCCCCTGTGTCTCTAACTTTTGATGTAGTTGTTCAATTAACAGTAGGACTCCTAGGCATTATGTGCCTACTGTGTGCAGGGACTGTCAAGGTCAAACATGAGTTCCTTCCTTTATTGCCCATTCTATGTGCAGTATTGAGGATCACACCCCCTCTCCCGCGAATGAATGTACTAATATGGAGTTTTTGTGTGGGATAGACATGGCATCCATTTAGAAGGAAAGGCTGGGACAATCAGATTGTGGGGTAATTTTGAATGCTAAGATAAGCAATTTGATTTCATCCTGTAGGTAAAGGAGGGCCAATGAAGACTTTTAAGCAAGGGAGTGACATCACCATTATCATCACAATAAAGATAACAGCTACTATTCATAGAGTACCTATTGCTTTCAAAGCTTTCAGCCCTCAAACCCTCACACCATCCCATGAGGTCAGAACTAGTATCAACCCCACTTGGCAGAGGAGGGAGCCTGAGGACAGAGATAACATAGCTCCTAAGGGGCAGAGCCTGGATGTGACCCCACACCTACCTGAATTCAGTTTATTCTTATCCTAAACACTCTGCAGGATCTTGGCTTTTAGGACATACCCTGCACAGCACATGGGGACTGAGGTGTGGGAGCCATCAGTGTTTCTTTGGGTGGCTAAAGGCATGAGAGAGACGAAATTTAAGAGAGAAAGAACAGAGAAGCAGGGAAAGAAACAGCTGCTGAGGCAGGCAGTGTTAAGGAAAGCATGCAAATGTGAATTTTAAGACAGAAAGAAGGGGACAATGGTACAGAAAGTTCCCTAGAGGTCAGGCAGGATTAGATGGACAAGGAACTGTAAGATTTGCCAAATGAAGAGGGTTTCAGGGACTTCACAGACGGCACTGTTAGAGGGATGGTGGGGGTGGGCGCCAGATTGCTGTGAGCTGAGGAGTGAGTGGGAGGTGAAGACAGGGCCAGCAGCATGTAAACTTACTCTTTCAAGAAATATGATACTGAGGGGGAGGGGAGGAAGAAGGCCTGAAATGGGAAGATGGTGGCAGGAAGGGTTTTCAAGGGGGGTGAAGGTGGGGAGAGACTTGAGCAGTTGTAAGCCAGAATGAAAGCAGAGGCTGAAGGCTACCAGATGGGGAATTTCTCTCACAGAGAGCCCCAGAAGAAGCTCCAAGGGATGGATGGAGAACACAGTAGGTGGCATTAGTGAGAGGTCCTGTGCACAGTTGGGGTTCTCCAGAGCTGTGAAATGACTGAGGTGGATCTGACTATCTCTGTGGCTCCTTGCAGATCTAATTTTCTTTTTCTTTTCTTCTTCCTCCCTTCCTCCCTCCCTCTTTCTCTCTTGCCATAATATTTACTGAACACCTACTATGTGCTTGGTCTTGTGCTAAGCTCTGTGGCTATTATAATGAATGAGACAGTGTATATCATCCTTACAATTGAGTGGTGTGATAGATATTAAACAAGAAGATGCACAAATATGTACATTGTGTAACTACACATTGTATGACGTTAAAAAATGCTAATGTTCACTGAGCTCTTCTAATGTACTAAGTACTTTATAAACATTTTCTCATTAAGTCCACACACACACACACACACACACACCCCATAAGAAAGGCATTATTGGTATTTCCTTTTACAGATCAGGAAAACTAAGGCACAGGGGTCAGACGACTTCACACAACTCAGGTGGAACATGAGATTCAACTTATATTTGCCTATCTTTCAGACAGATGCTAAGCTGCCACACTGTCCTGATTCCTTGTGTTTAGAACAGTGCGCACCAGGATGAACAAGTTCTGGAGGTGTACCCATGCTAGGGGAGCTCACAAACCTTGAGAAATGGGAAAAAATCAAGAGTTCATTTACTCCCTTTTTCCTCCAGGTGTGGTCCCTGAACCAGCAGCATTCACAGCACCTGGGGCTTGTTAGAACCACAGAAGCTCCAGCCCAGCCAGACCCACAAGATCAGGATCTGCAGGTGCTTGGTATGTACCTTAAAGTTGGGACAAGCCTGGTCTAGAGCCCATTTCTTTTATTATAGATGGGCAATCTAGGCCCAAGCTTTTGGAGGTTACAGAGAGTGGTGGAACTTGAGGGACTGGTGTCAGGAGCCCAACTTAGGCCAGAATGGGCGCTTCCACTCTTGACCTGAGGCCAGTGGGTAGGAGAACAGGAAGGAAGGACGCGCAAGGTGCTCGGCGCGCGCAAGGTGCTCGGCGCGCGCAAGGTGCTCGGCGCGCGCAAGGTGCTCGGCGCGCGCAAGGTGCTCGGCGCGCGCGCGCGCAAGGTGCTCGGCGCGCGCAAGGTGCTCGGCGCGCGCAAGGTGCTCGGCGCGCGCAAGGTGCTCGCGGGTTCGGGACCCTGCCGGGCTGAGGCGGCGTGGGCGCCCTGAGGGCCGGGCCGCCGCGCGGCGTCCCCGTCCCCGCGCTGGCCCGGCCCGGCCCCTCAGCTCCACCCCCTGCCTCCCCCTCCCGCCCGCTCGCGCCTCCTGAAAAGCCAGCCCGCCCGGGGCGGCGACGCAGAGCCGGGCCCGGCGCACGAGGCAGCCAGCGCGGCCATGACGGCGGAGAAGGCGCTGCCTCTGGGCAATGGGAAGGCTGCCGAGGAGGCGCGGGAGTCTGAGGCGCCGGGAGGCGGTGGCGGCGGGGGCGCGGCGCCCGCGCGCGATCCGCGCGACAAGCGCGACAAGGCGGTCCACGAACGCGGCCACTGGAACAACAAGGTGGAGTTCGTGCTGAGCGTGGCTGGGGAGATCATCGGGCTGGGCAACGTGTGGCGCTTCCCTTACCTGTGCTACAAGAACGGAGGAGGTGAGGCTGCACGCGCGACGTGAGGGAAAACGGGGAGGGGAAAGCAGCCCGGTGGGGGCGGGGAGCAAGGGGGTTAGCGCGCGACCCCTCCCGCGCCTGCGTGTAGCGGGACCCTCGGGCGGGGCGGAGTGGGGGGGAGAATGCCCGCAGTGGGCCACCTGGCGCTGGAGCTTTACCCACGTTCGGCTAGGCTCGCCTATCCCAGGGCGCATGTGCACGCGCCTCTTCGCACCTGAATGTGCCGCCTATTAGCACGCGGGGACTTGACAGCCAGGTGTGTTCTCTGGCAGCGAGAGGTGGAGGCCTAGGCTAGCAGCCCTTGCTTTTCGTACCTGCATTACTGTTAGGGGCAAGAGACAAATCCTTTGATGCTCAGCTTTCCTAACTGGAAACCAGCATGAAGAAAAGGGACTCTGATCATGAGCTGAGTAGGCTCAGGTTTTGAGCGCTTACTGAAATGCCAGACTCCGTAACAAGCTTTACCTACATCATCTCATTTCATCCTTAAAGTCATCTTTGCGGGCCTTGGTATACCCATTTTGCAGATGAGGATACAAAGGGTCAAAGAAATAACCCCATAAGAGGTAAAGATGGGATTCTGCCACCAAGACCTTCTTTTAAACTGGGATTGGACTGACAATAGGGAAAACTTTTAGGTGGGGCATTAATGTTTGATTTCCTGCCCAGTCTTTCATTGGCCCTTCAGGCCTTCACTAGGCCCCCTTTCTGGCCCATCTGGTGGAAACATTGGCACCAAGCAGTTTCTTTCACTGGTCTCAAGAGTCACCCACGACAAATAGCAACAATACTGATTTGATGTTTAGGAGATGCTTAGAGGTTGTGGAGCAGGGGACAGGGAAAGGAAGGTGATGAGACAATCGTTCCTAGTGACATGTCCAAGTTAGTTTGGTGGAGATGCTGCAGTGAATCCTCAAATCTTTCAGCTCAAGGACTCTAGGAGCCTCCACCTGTCATATTAGCAGGACAGATGGCAGGTGCATGGCAAGGGACCTTGTGATACCTTCTTGGGTGGCACAGTTTCTCTAAGGAAAAGCCTATGTATTCCTTTCTCTCTTTGCTGTGCCCCTGCTCCTCCAGCAGATCCCCAGATCCCAGTGAAGGTGGCTCAGAAGTTGGCTGGCAGGGACCACACTGTTAGGTTGCATGGAGCAGGACTTCCTGTGCGAGCAGTTGCAGGGAGAACGAGAAGGGTACTGCTTGGCCCGGGCCCTTTCTTTGGAGACATTCATCCTGAAGGCACAGGCTGCTCCAAGCCTGCTCTGCACTGGTAATGAAGTGGCCACCGGTGTTGGTGGCTTGGCACAAGGGAGAGTGGGCGTGGCCTTGGAGACCCGGAACGTGCCCTATGGCCTCAGCTGTGAGTTCTGCCTCTTTGCAGAGTCAGCCTTTATTAGCTGCCATATCTTCTTAGAAACCTGTGGAAACACTTTAGGGTAGTCCCAGGCAAAAACTGTTTTAACATCTTTTTTTAATATAGGAAATTGTTAGGCCAAAACCAAATGCGTGCCTAAAAGGAGAAAACAGAGTAAGTTGGGTTGATTAGAAATTCTGCACAGATTAAAAAAAAAAAGTTGTAGTGAGTAAAGTTTAAAAATTAGTCTTTTTTTTTTTTTTCTCTGTAACTTGCCAAGAGTCTCTACTGGGTACACAGATATCCTGATTTAATTGAGCTAGTTATCTTAAGGATTGCTAGCTTTGTGAATACATGGACTAAAAGCCTTTCAGAAAGTGCCATCCGTTAGGTTCTAAAGGGTTCACAGGTAAACTACAATGTATTAGGGAACCTACTGCAGCTTGTTGTAAACACTTAGATTTATATTCAGCAAACAGACCCTCTTGTCCCTTTTTACACACTTTTTCCTTCTGATATAGTTGGAGTATCTATCAACTGCTTGCCTTTTAAAAAATACCTACACAGTTCTATTCATAGATCCCAACAATAGTTTAACGTATTTCTTTCCCAATGTGAAACTTTAAAAAAAAAAGTATCTTGCCCAAAAAAGCTAATACCCTTTCAAAATTTGGTAGATGTGGTCCTACTATCAGGATTGATCAAAATTGTTGTTATTCTAAGGTTAGAGCGACTTCATTTAGCAAAAAGCAATTTCAGTTAAAGCTTCATTTGTGAGATCAGATGGTGGGGAATAGCATGTGTTTTCAGGCTTTGTTATTAGGTGGGTGAGAGAGAATGAGGGATTTGGAAAAAATCCCTTTCTGGTTATAATAGCTCATGTTCACCTCAGTTATTTAATTTGTTTCACAGAAAGGCCCAGGCAAGGGTATTGTGTGTATCAAGATAGGAGCACTAAAACTTATGGTGGTCTTTTCTCAGACTGATTCAAAGTCAGCCTTTCTGAATAGATAGATTCTTGCTGCAAACCCCTTATAACTCAGCCCCATACCTGACCCTCATGTGCTGGGGGCTGATACTGCTTATTGCACATCTCCTGGAGAATGCTTCTCTAATGAAAATATTTTTTTATAGATTACTTCCAAAGTAAATAAGAAGAAGGGGTCCCCCTCACCTAGCCTGTTGAGGTTACTTTAGAATACAAAAGGACAATGTAAATGTTCGGAAAGGGAATGGATTTAACCTATGCTGGGGGGTGAAATATATAAATTGTAGAATCAAGGAAAGAAAACACTTTTACATTATCATCTTAGATACACATTTCTGTGAGAAGAGTGGTACAGATACTGAGTTTTAAAGCCCCATTTTACAGATGAAGAAGTTGAGGCTAGGAGATGGGAGGTAGATGTACAGACAGCACAGAGCCAGGGCCATGTTTTCTGACTGTGGTCCTCAAGGTGTTGACTTGACTTAAGCTCAGAGAGCATGTCTCACACAGAGTAGGTGCTTATTAAAGATTTCTTGTGTCAAACTTGAAATAGTAGAGGCAATTTTAACCTCATTCCCTTACTTTGCATCCTTGTAGGGGCGTTCCTGATTCCCTACGTGGTGTTTTTTATTTGCTGTGGAATTCCTGTTTTTTTCTTGGAAACAGCTCTGGGACAATTCACTAGTGAAGGTGGCATTACATGTTGGAGGAAAGTTTGCCCTTTATTTGAAGGTAAGCATTGAGTTAGAAAATGAAATGATGCCTGGGTGATGTCAGGCTGTGAAAAGTAGCTGACACTGTTCTAACAAGGTGGAGAGAGATGCAAATCATTCCATTTGTTCTTTCAGGCATTGGCTATGCAACACAAGTGATCGAGGCCCATCTAAACGTGTACTACATCATCATCCTGGCATGGGCCATTTTCTACCTGAGCAACTGCTTCACTACTGAGCTCCCCTGGGCCACTTGTGGGCATGAGTGGAACACAGGTATGGCCCCCAGGGAGGGTCTCTCTGCTGGTCCTGCTGGGGGGCGTGGTATTGGGGGTATGCCTTTATCCTGGAGATCAATCCTGGCCTTTGGCCTCTTGACCTGAGTCAAGATTCCACTGAAATTGGAGGTCAGTTCTGCACTGGGTCTGGTTGCATTCTGTGGGTTGCAGCCCTGAGCCTGAGCTGAGCCCTGGCCCAGGAATTGGCATGGGTGGAAGAATGGTGATGTGTTTTCCTCACTTGGCCAAATATAGAGACTGAGCCCTTTGCAGGCAGGTATGAGGGGTTCAGGCTCCACTTCCAGCCCTGCCTCTCTGGGTATCAGATTTTCCTCTGTAAAATGAAGGGGTTAGGCTAGATCAAGGGTTGCAAACCAGGGGCCTACAGACAAACTAGGTTTTAGATCAGTGATCAGTGAATTTCAAAAATGTATTTGGTTGCCAAAATTTAAAAACCAGAAGACCTCACATGAAAATCCAGTCCAGCTTCTCTTGAAAAATTAAAAGAGCAATCTGGCAACAGCAGACCCACATTCCCACATTCTTGCTTGGCAGCAATGCTGGGGCTAATAAGCAGTTGTCTTTGTTTTTTTTGTTTTTTTTTAAATATTTATATATTTGAGAGAGAGAATGAGATAGAGCATGAGAGGGGGGAGGGTCAGAGGGAGAAGCAGACTCCCTGCTCAGCAGGGAGCCCGATGTGGGACTCGATCCCGGGACTCCAGGATCACAACCTGAGCCGAAGGCAGTCGCTTAACCAACTGAGCCACCCAGACACCCAGCAGTTGTCTTTGGATAAGGCCTCTGTCCTCACGTTGGCCACAGTCTCTACCCAGCCCACATTACTTATTTACTTTACCTGTCTAACCCAGGTAGATATTTGAATTTACCACTCTCCCACTCCCTTGAGTGGATAACTTTTTAGATTACTTTGGATTCTAATGTGCTGTTTGCTTTTCAATTTGTCCATCCTATCAAGATTGAGTCTTATAATTCAGGGAAGGCAAATAACATGTTCAATCCCTATCCGTGATGGCCATGCTCAGAGCAGACATCACTAATCGATTGTAGAACTCCTTCCTTTATGAGTCTAGTCTTGGCCTCAGAACCCTTCTCAGCAGTGTTCCAGGCAGCCACTGCCTTTTGACTGGAGTCGGCACACGTGCTTTAAGCTGTTCACCATCTGTGTTATAACCTGTGGTTAGGTTGTCCCTGGAAGTAACCTGTCATCCTGAAGGCTGAGATATAGTAAGACTGGGTAGAACATTGGTTACCAGCAGAAGGAACAGTAGCAATTAGGCCTATAAAGTGCTGTGAAGTAGCTTCTAGTCCTGCATGATTTTATCCTGCTCCCACCCATTGCATTTTGTGGCTGTCTCACGGTCTCTCTTGAGGGCCCTAGTTCTTAACCTTTCTTTGGCCAGGGACTTCATAGAGATGTTTATCAAATTAAAATTCAAGGGTATACTCTTGGAGGCCTGTGAGTCCTCCATGATAATTTAATTGTGTGTGTTTATTTTGAGGACACTAAAAATATGCACATGTTGTGGATTCTGTGCACAACCATCTTATAACTGAGGACAGTCAGGAGATTCAGTGCCTGACTGTGCATGTTTGCAACTTAAGATGTGTTCTTGATAAATAGGATGACGACGGCCAATGGAGAAGAGCGGAGAGATTTAATTTATAAATGGTGCTTTGGGACTAAGTGAAGTCCAGTTAAGAATGTAGCAAACTGTAAGAATGAAGATATTGTGAAAGTGTGACCAGAAAAAAATGGTAGAATTGAATCTCCGGTAGCCAGTGGAAGAATAGGCAAGCTGAACTCAATAGACCCTGCCTCCTCCCTACTGATTCCATTTTTCTGTTGGGAAATCCATTTAACTTCACAAAATGGCATTATCTTACACATCCATTTTATGCTATCAATTTGAATTGTCTTCTGTAGTTGATATTTAATGTATAAACTTAATTCTGGTTTTATAGTTGTATGAATACTACAATACTATAATCACTCATTTATTTGTACATAATTAAATGTCATTTTAATAAAAATACCTTGTCAATGTTGGATGTCTGAGAAGTTTTTTTACTCCAGAAAAAAAAAAAAAATGAGAAACCTTATTTTAGAGACTGATCAAAATTAAGGGCTCCTCTCCCTGGAAAAAGGCGCAAGGGCACCTATAATCTCAGGTTTCCAGACTCCTTTTAAGGACTTTGTGGACCCCACAGACCTCCCTCTTTTCAGAAGATGGTTAGTACTTGCCAAGGGGAGCAGGAAGGAGGCTGATGATCGGAGGACATTTCCCCAGCAGACTGAGAACCTTTCTTCCCCTGGTTTGCAGCCCCCTTTCTCTAATAGTGTGTGAACTTTTGTGATGTGTCAAACATCAGGTGTAGGAGGTGCTTCCTGCTCCAGAGTTTACAGATGTGGTTGGAAGGTATGTACACGTGTGAGGAGAGAGCAGTGCCCGTGTGAGGTGGAACGCTGCTGGCTCTATGCTGACCCCATTGCTGGGTGCAGGGCCTCCACAGTGAATGTTGCAGCTGCCCTTGGGGAGTTCACAGTCTGGCGGTGGCTGAGGTGCCTCTGTAACCAGGGGTGCTGTAAAGAGGTATGGGTCCCCTGGTGGGGAACCGAGCTGGGTGATGACTGTAACAAAGCAGATGGAGTCCTGGCTTGAGTTGACTCCCCGTTCTGTCCCTAGTTGGCTGGTGACTTTGTAGAGGAGGGAGAGGGTATAGATGTGGGTCCCTTGACTATTAATGAACCTTAAGATTCTCCTCTTCAAAATAAAGGGAGTTGGAGAAGGTGGTTCCTTGGAGGGCCTTTAAATCCTAATTTTCTTAGAATTCAGGGGAGGGAGATTGAGGAAATCTTCCTGGAGGAGGGGGTTGATCTGGACCATTAAGGTTAAATAGCTGGATGTTTTTACTTGAAATTCAAATCCCCCTTGGTCATCAAGTTTCATGAAATGAAGAGACATTCAACAAATCTTTTCTTGGATTGACTGATCAATTGAGGGAATGGTGAAGAAAGCTGAAATCCTTTACACATACAGGCTCATGACATTTCATCTAGTTATCACGTATTTTTGAGGCAGCTGCAATGTTAGTGTCCTTCTACATGAAGGAAAACTGAGCTCAAATGCATTACAGTCATAGGGACACCATGACTGACCCACTTCTTTAGTCCCTCCATTCCTGCTGGGGCCACTGGGCAGGACAGAAATGCCATGTACAGGCCTTCAGTAGGGAAATAGAAAAGAGGAAAGGAAATTAGGGAGCAAGGTAGGAGGAAGGAGTTTGATAGGGCCTATGGGGTGGGAATGAGAGAACGTGCCCTGCCCCCCAAACTTTTCCTCCTGTTCTAATCAGACCAAACCTCTCAAACTGTTAAGCTATTGATTTCCTTCCCCAGTGTTCTCTGAGGCATGTTTGCTTGGAGCGGCTAGGTAAAACCACCTGGTTGCATCATCAAATCTGAATGTTTCCCAAGGTCCAGCCCTTGCAGAAGTTAATCTTCTATTTCTTGTCTTGTTTCCACTGTAGAGAATTGTGTGGAGTTCCAGAAACTGAACATGAGCAACCACAGTCATGTGTCCCTGCAGAATGCCACCTCTCCCGTCATGGAGTTTTGGGAGTAAGTGGAAAATGACTTGTGTCCCTTGGCCTGTGAGGCCTCTGTCCTGGTTCTGCTCAGTTAACATTGCTCCCACCCTGGGAAAAGCCTGACCTCTTCTTTCTTCGACTTTGCACTACCTAGCTTCTGTGGGCATTTGATGGCTTTGGAGATTTTAGAGGTTTCCCAAAGGAACAGATGAGATAAATGATTTTTTGTTGTTTGATGACATGTCAGCATGCCTGGTTGCTTATTAGGGTAAGAAGTGCTTGGTAAAATGGTAGTTGAAGAAAGGCATTTTTAACAAAAGAGGAGACAGCATGTTTGTGATAAGCTAAGTCATAACTATATTTAGCCTGGAAAGCAGAAGTCTGGGTGGGGCGGGGGAAGGGAGATTCATTTTCTTTCAGTAGCTGAAGTGTCATGCCCAAACGAAACAGATCAACGTTAATGGATAGAGGTTATAAAGAGGCCAGTGTCAAATGTGCTTAAAGTAAGAGCTTAGTTTCACAGCATTGTCTGCAAGTACTTCCGAAGGTTGTGATCACTCATCTCTGAAAGTGTTCAGCTAGTGGAGGATGGCTAATCGTTGTTGGGGAGGTGTCTGAATCCACCCACATTACAGGCAGTAATTGTGCGGATGGGCATTTTCCCAGAGGTGGGCATTCTTCGTTAGTATTCCAGAGGGGTCTATGACCTAGCTGTTACAGGCTGCTACATATAGTTATAGAAGCCATTCACTGCACAACCCTGGGGGCATCATTTATATTGTGAAATGTGTGCTCCAGAATTGTGCCTTACCAACCTGTGTAACAGGACCCTGACACAGGATCTTCTGAATAGAGGTAGCAGGATCCCTTGTTCAAGGTACTGAAGAGATGCTTCCTCTCTGAGTCAGAGGTTGGGCTAAATGCTTTCTGAAGCTTTTCAATCTGAAAAAAACTATGGCTTTATTCAAAAACATCCCCTACCGTAATCCCTAATGCTGATTATAAGTAGTGTAGAGGGGCAGTGGTTTTATGAGTGATTTTAATTCTCTTCCCAGATACCATTCATCTCCTTCGCTCTTTAGAGGTCATGATGCTGACTTTAGACTTAGCAGTCTCATGTTTACACTTGATATGTGTGTGTGTGTGTATCTCACACATCTATATACACATTATATACTAATATGTAATTATGTATACAAATAGTACCTAGATCTTTCTTGCCTATTTAAAAATATTATATTGATGGTATCCATTATTTATATTTTCTTACAATTTTGTTTCTTTGCTCAGTATTGGTTTTGAGATGTTCCCATGCTGATACATGTAGCTTTGGTTCATTTATTTTTTCCTGCTATATAGTATTTCAGTGTATAAAAAGACTACATTGTGTTTAGCCAGCTCCTCTTGATGGGGATTTGAACTTTCTCCTGTTTCCCACTGTTATTAAGCACAAAATAAATGTCTTGTCTGTGCTTCCCTGTGTGCGTGAATTAAGGTTTCTATGAGGTATACTTAAGAGTGGAATTGCTAGTAGTAGGGTGCATGCATCATGGGTTTTATCAGATAATGTCAAATTGCTTTCTGAAATGATCATTCTGATTTACTCTCTAAACAATAGTGTATGAGAAGTTTACTGTTCCATATTCTACACAGCCCTTGGTCTTGTTGATTTTTAAATTTTGAATCTTAGTATTTTAAATTTGCATTCCTCTAATTGTGAAATAATTAAAACATTTCATGATTTTTCCTCTATTTGGGTGCCTTATCTGTGAACTTCCTGCTCATATCTTTTTCTTTTTGGATTGTCTTTTCTCATGGATAGGAATTCTTGATACATTCTAGATACTAGTATCTTGATACTTTCTAGATGTAAGTATGCTGCAAATAGCTTTTCCTACTGTGTGACTTTTCTTACTTACTTATGGCATATAGGAGTTTCAGCTTTATTGAAGTCAAATTTGCCAGTCTCTTCTTTTTGGTTTGCATAGTTCGCATCTTATTTAAGATGTATTTCCCTACCCCAAAGTTGTAAAAATCTTCTATATTTTCTTCCAAGAGTTTTAAACATTTTATGTTTTTATATTTAGGAATATAATCTACCTGGAATTTTATTTTTGCATATGATGTGATGTAGGAGTTCAGCGTTGTTGTTTTTTAATATAAATTACCAATTTCTCCCACAGTATTTACTGAATCATTCATCTTTTCCCTATTGATTTGTAATGATGTCTTCCATTTATAGTTTTCCTAAAAGTACAGGTCTGTTTTGGGGCTTTCTGTTCTGTTCCATTGGTCTCTTTGGCTAATTATGTGTTAATACCACGCCTATACTTTTATCGTAAGCCTGGAGCTGTTAAGACAGGTCCCTCACTTTGTTCTTTTCCAAAATGGCCTTCCAAATGAATTTTAGATTCAGCTTTCAGGTTAAACAACAATAAAGAACAAAACAACTCCATGGGGATTTTGGTTGGAATATATTGAATTTATAGGTTAATTTGAAGAAAGTTGACATCTTTATGTCAATGAACATGGTATAGCTCTCCATTTATTTAGGTTTTTTAAAATGCCCAATACAGTAGTATTACTTAAAGCAGCATGAGAATCACCTGGTTAGAAGTGCAGATTCTCTAGTCCTCCCCAAACCTACTGAGTCATAGTCCCAAATATAGCATACATAAGACATGTGCTAGAGAGGAGGCTACTGTGATGGGTGGGCCTGTTTGGCCTTTCCCAGCCCCATGGGGCTATGATTTTCGACCTGCACATTTGAGTGTCTGTGAAACGGTCTCTGTGCTTCCTTAGAGAATCCATACAGAAACCCCACACTTGACAAGATCTCTGTGTAACTTACCATTGTTTTGCACCATTTATTTTCTTTGTTATATATATATATAGAAAACTTCAATTAAATCATTTTTGGGGCAATGTATTTGTTTGTTGTCTGTATTCTCCAAAAGGTAGTCATAAAGCAATGCCTTGTTTGGCTTTACTTACTACTGCTGGTCTATGGAAGACCCCCCCAATGAATATTTACAGAATGGATAGATAAACAGGAGGAAGGCAGGCAGGCAATATATTCTAGAAGATACTACAAGAGAAGTCGGAGTGGGCTCTGGCAAGAACTCATGCAATATCCATATCACCTACTTATTTGGACACCAAGTGATGGGAGGAGAGAGCTAATCTGCATCCTTATGTGTAACTGGACCTTTTGGCCTACCACTTGGCCATTCCAGATGAAAGTCTATGGGAGAATGAACCAGTGGTTTTAGTTTTCTATTAGACTGCATCTGTGTTATGTGTGCAGTGTTGAATTCTGCATCCTAAAAGTACTCAAATACTGGTGTGACACTCACCTTTTCATAAGATGCTTTTGTCAGACAGCTCTAATTCATCTTTTCCCAGAGATGAGGTTGGAACAGAGACTCTGTGAGCTATTCGTAACATCCTATGAAAAGCTGTTGGGGCCTCATAAATTTGAGAAGGGCCAAAAGCTGTGCTCTTTAGCAAGAACATCTGTCATCTTTGATTGACTCAAATCCCCCAACATATTTTCCTATGGAAGCATTTGGAATCTTTCCCTTCCTTCTTCCACTGCACCCCTACTCCCTGAATGCTAGCAGTCCACAAAACACAGTTTGACACATACTTTGTTGGGAAAGAGTTCTTCCTTAAATTCAGCTGACAGTTTTCTTCTGGGGCTTGGGATAGAGCATGCCTAATTCCTTGCCAGTGTGACAGCTCTTCAAGTATTGGATCAAGTTTCCTCAGAAGCATCTCTTCTTTGATTCTTTTTGCTATTTCCCTGTGTGGCCATCCCTCGGTTCAGGTCCCAGGTGTGCTCCTGCTGCCTTTCCTGACTGCCTCTAACTTCAGGGCCATACTGCTTGATCCAAATAGACTTCCTCAGCCGCCTGCCCATTCACTCATTCCACGAATGTCTGAACTCCTGGTGCCTGCACATAGGAAGGACTACTGCACATTTGGAGGAGGCAGAAATGTGAGATGCAGTTCTAGCCCTCTAGAAGCAGAGGTGAGACAAGTCCTACCATAAAATCAGTTATAGGGTGCTACTTCCCTGCCCATGACCGGCCATGGTTCACCTTGACCTTGGATACCTGGCCCAACCTGCCCCCTGCCCCATCTTAAAGGTTCATTTCCTTTTTCAGGGTATAAATTGTTGGCTTAGCCAGTGAGAACAGTTCTGGCCCTGGGTCAGTCTTGGATTCTTGCTCAGGCAGGGGGTCTAGGGGACAGGGGCAGTTTGTCTTTCTGATGTCATATTTCAAAATTAGGCCATCCTGGTTTTCTTAGTAACTCATTATGCATCTGGCACCTGAGCATTTATCTAAATATGTTTGCAATTCTAAATGTTAAGCCCATGTCGTCTGGTGGGATCGAGTATTGTCTAGTATGTAACCAGCATTATGGCAGCAGATGGCCTTTGGGCTTCTTCACTTAAGGCCTTGAATCCCATTGGTCCACAGGTCTTCAGCAAGTCCATGTTTGCTGTGTATACAATTGAAATCACTGTTGCACGGTGTCCATTCAACCAGCATTTGTTGAGTACATACTGTGTGCTGGGCCTGAATTAAACTCTACGTGTTTTCAGTTCTATATCTTTATTCGGAAGGATGAGGTTTTATCTTTCTGGTTTATCTTCACTGGATGAGTTTTTAAAACTTAATTGTTTCTAAATCATGTGGCCAATGGATTTTCTTTGGACACAAATTTTGGGAGGCAGAGGAGCTGGAGTGAAACCCTGATTCTTTCTGTGGACCCAGGGTCCGGCCCTGCCTCCCTCTCAGACTCTCCCCATTGCCTTCCTCTGCACCGGCCTTCTTTCTGTCCGTTGTATGTACTTGTCCCACGCTCGGTCACGGGCCTTGTTGTTCTGTTTGTTTAGAAGACTCCTCACCTGATGCTTAGGTGTCTGGCTCCTTCTTTTCATTACGTCCTAATGCAGATGTCATTTGCAATGCCCTTTCTGACCATCCCAGCTACATCAGCACTCAGCCCCTCTCAGCCCCA